ATATTTAATTTATTCTAAAAACTTTTTAATTTTGTTATTTATTATTCTAAGTATTTGATTGCTTTATCATAATCATGATAATATTATTAGATTTTATTTTTGAGAAAATAACCTCAGTGACCAAAAATGCCTTATAATATACGATTTTAACAAACTTTTTTTGGATTTGCCAAAATGACCAACTAAATCGCAATGCGATCGATAATTCGCAACGCGATCTCCGGTATCGCAAATCAGTTTCCAGATTCGCAACGCGAACTTTGACTATCGCATTGCGATAGTCCAAGTTCGCGTTGCGATTTTCCAAATTCGTTGCGATAGTCGAAGTTCGCGTTGCGATTTATTCCAAATTCGTTGCGATAGTCCAAGTTCGCGTTGCGATTTATTCCAAGTTCGTTGCGATAGTCGAAGTTTGAGTTACGATTTATTCCAAATTCGTTGCGATAGTCCAAAATCGCAATGACTGGTGGTATTGCATTTGTTTCTTAAGAATTTTCTCTAAAAAGATAGTATTCACGCGGACGTGTCGAAGACACGTATTACCACGACCCCGACCCCAACCCCGAGACGAGACGGACGGCGGCGGCGGCGCGCGAGAGTCCCCCTTGTTCTCTATCACTCAACAAGGAAGTGGGAAAGCCAAGCCTTAAATACCATTCCCAATAGTGTTTCCAATACTATGTGGGATTGAGCATTACCAACACTTGTTCCCAATACTATGTGGGATTGAGCCTTAAATAGTGATATTATTTTTGAATGTTTTGCTTAAAATTGCAATAATCGCGATTGATTGTAGATTGACTTTTAATTATGACATATTTAATCGTATAATACTAATGCAATTGATTGTTGATTCAGTTGTTTTAAGGTGCATGATTGTTAATTGTTTCCTGAATAATCACATTGTATTGGAAACAAGTGTTGGTAATGCTCAATCCCACATAGTATTGGAAACACTATTGGGAATGGTATTTACGGCTTGGCTTTCCCACTTCCTTGTTGAGTGATAGAGAACAAGGGGGACTCTCGCGCGCCGCCGCCGCCGCCGTCTCGTCTCAGGTCGTGGTCGTGGTAATACGTGTCTTCGACACGTCCGCGTGAATACTATCTTTTTAGAGAAAATTCTTAAGAAACAAATGCAATACCACAAGTCGTTGCGAATTTGGAATAAATCGCAACGCGAACTTCGACTATCGCAACGAATTTGGAAAATCGCAACGCGAACTTGAACTATCGCAACGAATTTGGAATAAATCGCAACGCGAACTTGGACTAGCACAACGAATTTGGAATAAATTGCAACGCGAACTTCGACTATCGCAACGAATTTGGAATAAATCGCAACGCGAACTTCGACTATCGCAACGAACTTGGACTATCGCAACGAATTTGGAAAATCGCAACGCGAACTTCGACTATCGCAACGCGAACTTGGACTATCGCAATGTTAATATGTAAATCGCAATGCGATAGTCGAAGTTCGCGTTGCGATAGTCGAAGTTCGCGTTGCGAATCTGGAAACTGATTTGCGATACCGGAGATCGCGTTGCGAATTATCGATCGCATTGCGATTTAGTTGGTCGTTTTGGCAAATACAAAAAAAGTTGGTTAAAATCGTATATTATAAGGCATTTTTGGTCACTGAGATTATTTTCTCTTTATTTTTATATATTTCATATATCTTCATATTTTGAATTATAGATTATCTTCTCAAAATTTTAATAATATTATATTAAATGTTCGAATTTGATTTATATAAATGGGAATATAATATATATCTTATACTAAGTTTTTTTAGTAATATGTATTAAACTTCATCACACATAAGATGATTATAAGTTGTACGAACCAACTTATCTCAGTGGTTAAAAGAAATCGTTGTTATTTTTAGAGGTCGCGAAATCGAGCACCAACGATTATAGCAAGGCGAATAAGCGTTCATTATAAAATGGTTGAGAATATTATAATTCTTCACACGACTACCGATTAATATGATATAAATATAAAATAATCTTATTATTTTATGATAAAATATAAAAAAAGTATTCAATTTTTTTTCTAGAGATGAGCATTATAATATGTATATTTTTAAAATATAGAAGATAATTATATTATTATTTTGGGACAAATTTTCACCTTAAAAGATGAATTCGATTTAAATTAAAAAAATGATTTTATATGGTTAGGTCGTATTGGAACCTGTTGAGTTTGAATAAAATGGATATATATAATCACATCTGAGTGAAAAAATAAAAAAATTAGAATTTAGAATTTGAGTTATAATTTAAAGATAAAATTTGAATGTTAAAAATTTAAAGATAAATTTAAAATTATAATTATAATTTGAGGATAGATTATAAAATTAACTCTATTATTATTATTTATTTAAAAAAAACTCTATTATTTTTAGGGTAAACAATGTATTTAATATCGAGTTTATTAGTTTTGGCCTGTTTTAGTACCTACTTTTTTTTTAATTTTTTTCAAAATCATACCTAACGTTTAATTTTTTTCATTTTAGTACCCGCTGTTAAAAAATTAACGAATGTGCTGACGTGACATAGTTTCAGTAGACGGACGACAAATTTGAACGGTGGACGTAGCATAGTTTCGGTGGACGGACGACAAATCTGAACGGTGGACCATGAAAAAATGACGAGACGACCAACATAGTCCAATTTCAAACCCATCGGACGGTGGACCTATAGATTGAATAACGAAAAAATCTAAGAGTCCATCGTTGATTTGGAGAGATTGGGACATTCCCCAATCAAAAGGAGACCGAAATCGTGTTCAAGGGGTCGAAAAGGTATGTGCTGGAAGGTTTGGGCTTCATCGGCCGACGAATACAATAGTATGCGATTGTAGACGCGATGACTAACGAGTTCTTCGATTAAGTATGATTTTGAAAAAAAAAAAATAGATACTAAAACGAATCAAAACTTTTAGTTTAAATACTAAATACATAATTTACCCTAATTATTATTATTATTTTATGATATCGAATCCGCTCGCACCACCAATACGTTAAATAAAAAAACAAAACAAAATAATTACATAAATATTTGAAAATAAAAAGAAAAGAAAGAAGCAAAAGCGACCCCACGCACCACCGTAACCAGCAATTCAGTGGACGCAACGAATGCTCTTCCCACACTCCTCTCCCTCAAATACCAACCACCAAACTCTTCCCCCTTTTTTCTTTAAAATAAATAAGTAAATATTATAATTTATCCAATAAATAAATATATAATTATTTTACATAAAAAAGTATACAGAAATTAATATTTTTCCTTGTAAAATCAAAATAATAATAAAAATTACACATGTCGGTATCTTATTCTAAAATTATTTTATTATAGATGCATTATTCATAGATATAAAAATGTGTAAGCAAATTAATTCTTAATTTTTATTATATTTTATTTATAATTAGAAATGAATCGATAGATATTCAGGAGAGCAATCATATTTGTCTAAGAATTATTTTTATATAAATTTTTTTATTAATGGTATAATTTCATACTTAAAAATTTTAGAGGTCATATCTTTAAATTTCTAATATAACGTTTTAAATCATTATCTGAAATAAAATATTAGGTTCATTCTTATTATGTTAATAATTAAAATATTAATTAAATTTAACCTAATAAATTAATTAAATATTGATTTAATTTAGAGTTATTAAGTTATTTATACTTTTTTTTATATAATTTTTAATAAAATTTACTCTGTCGTTTCATCTAAAGTAATTGTTAATATAATTTTTTATATAATTTTTCTTATATTAGAAGTTTTATTCTTTAATTATTTTTGGGTAAATTATGCATTTAGTGCCTAAATTATCAATTTTAGTTTATTTTAGTATATGAACTTTTAATTTTTCAAAATCATATGTAACATTTTGTTTTTATTTTATTTTAGTATCCTACCGTAAAAAAATTAACACATCTACTATTTAAACTATAAGTTATGGTCCGTTTTAGTACTTAAACTTTCAATTTTTTCAAAATTTAAAATTAAATTTTGAACGAGATACTAAAATGAAACAAAAACTAAAGTTTTTAAAGATGAGGTACTAAAATAAAACAAAAACTAAAGTTTTTAATGAAAGGTACTAAAATGAAACAAAGGCTAAACTTTAGGTATGGCTTTGAAAAATTGAAAGTTTAAGTACTAAAATGAACCAAAACTAATAGTTTAAATGCTTAATGCGTAATTTACCCTATTTTTCTGTACAATAACAGTATTGTAAAGTTTGTAATTGGGAGCAGCTGGCGATTGGAGAACTAGCTGCGATCACACCAAGCAATCCATTGAGGCGACACGCCAACGCCAGGGCTCCACTCCTCAGATTTTCCTCTACTTGCTTCCCAAAATTTTCTTTATAATCAGAACGCCATCACTGCCTTTTACGCTGCTCTTTTTCCCCCCTTCTCTTTCACGAAAAATCTCAAGCACTCTCCAGATCTCTTATCCCGCGGGTCCCTGTTTGATTAAGCACTTCGTTTCATAGCTGAAAAGAAGGGGGAAAGAAGGGGGAAAAGAAGAGTAACTATAGCTGAAAAGAATACGAGGCAGTTGCCTGCGTTTTTTTGGGTGATAGTATGGTTTTTACTTTTTAGAGATTTATAGCTGAAAAGAAGGGGAAAACAAGGGAAAAAATAAGAGTAATTATTGAACTGGAAATTGAACTTTGATCATTCGATATGGTTACTAGCAATATATTCCATTGTAGAAAGAATTCATGGCCGCCTGAGGAATATATCAGCCGTCACACTTTACAGTTGGTAAGATTTTTGGATCATTTTCTAGGTTTTGTTCTGTTTGGTTCCTGAGGGGGGAAATGTGTAAAATCAGAGGAAAGAAGGTAGTGCTACTATTAGAATTAATAGGATCGAAGTATATTTTCCCACGGAATTAGCTATATCTTGATTAATAATGTTTGGAATTTATTTTTATTGAGAGATTGAATTTTTACTTCATTTTTTGGCTGCCTCTTTTTTAATTCATAATCCTACTGATATTGTAGATGGCGTATAAGAGATTTAGTTAATACATTTACTTTAAATACTAGTTATGGAGTTTGGTTGTTTCTTTGTATTAGCAATTAATCAAAGCTTGATTGCCATCTTCATTCAGGAAATAGATTTTAAAAAAAATTAGAAGGTTGACTGGCCTGATATAATTCCTGTCTTCGATAGGAGTGTTTGATTTTCGCGACTGATGTCTGATCAAAATCCTTACATGTTTAAAAAACAGTAGGGAAGAAAGCATTTTTGAACTTGATGCCTATATCACTTACTCACATCATGAAGTTTAAGTCTCAAAGGTGGGAAAGAGACTGACAATCATCCCTGGTAACATCTAGAATTAATAGGACTCTGTTCTTCCTAATATTGTTTCAAATTTGATGATCTTAAATCCAGTACATAGTCATATCGTGTGTGTGTTGATTGCTGAATATGAGGATAAAGAATGAAATTTTGATTTATTTGATTTTCTGCCTTAAATGGCATATTGATTCTATAATAAACTAGTTTTTTCTTTAGATGATAGTTGTAGGCTTAGCTTCAGATGAACTTTTAATATTCTGCCAAACTAATTCACCCGGTTTGGTACTCCTATATAGTTTGATTTTGATAGTGCTGGCCCGCCAAAACAAGCTTGGAGAAGGCGATTAAACAGTCATGCTAATCTTCTTAAAGAATTCAGTATTACATTTAAGGAAGCAATAAAGATGGTAAGTGATCGAAATCCTTGTTTGATTACTGGTTTAAGTTACTATACATATACTGGTTACCTCTTCGAATTGATCTTGGAATTTGAAACCTTAGGTGCGGTTAGGTATACGTCTATGGTCCTATGTCAGGGAAGAGGCATCTCATGGAAGGGTAATTGTCTTGTTTTATTTAGTTTGCAGTCTTTTGCTTCATTTTCCTTTTTAATTTTTTTTTTGGAAACAGGCAATTATTTTCCTTGATAGCTCTGAGTAACTTTATATGTTGTGGCATGATAATTTGCAGAAAGCACCTATTGACCCTTTCACCCGAGAAAGCTGTAAGCCATCTGCATCTCAAGGAGTTCCACTGGGAGGAATGGGGTATTTAATGCGGTTTAGCTAAATGTTTTAGTTTGTAGTGTTGGAATGTTTTATTCATCTGATTGTGGCAATTTGTGTTGCAGGAGTGGGAGTATATCCAGAGGCTTCAGAGGTGAGTTCAGGCAATGGCAAATTGTTCCTGGAACTTGTGACCCTTCGCCTGTCATGGCTAATCAATTTTCTGTAAAGCTCAGATCTTCAACTTGTTTACTTTTTTATGCCCATCTTAGTATTATTTTAATTCAAGGAATAATCCAGAAGTCTGCATGCGAAATAAGATTGCTGTACTAATTGTTTCAGGACTGTCATTTGAACATATGCAATATGTATTGAACTTAGAATTTATGTTTCCGTAGCTTGGTACATTGAATTGAAATGAGTATGGAGATTTTGTTAATATAATGATTAAGCTAAATGATGGGAAAGTGATCATGAATCTTAACTAATTGATTAACATATTTTCCATTCTAAGTAACAAGCAAAACCTAAGAGAATTTTCTTGGCATCATTCATAATTAATGAAGTAATTTTTCCCCTTTTTAAAATAGACCAACAACATGGTTTGGATTATATGTGCTTTTCCAACCGCCCCCCCCCCAAAAAAAAAAACCTTAGCAAGGAATAAAATTAATTCATTAGATGTTTAGAAACATTAAACCAATTTTTTATTCTCGCAATGGTTTGATTTCTTTTCTGTAACTGTAGCTTTTTATATCTCGAGATGGTGGGAATAAGAAGTATGCATCAGTTTTGGCTCCAGGACAGCATGAAGGATTAGGGTAAGATTAAGTTCTAATACAATCATTCTAAAAAATATAGATATGAAAATCTTTACATGTTGCTAATAGAAATAGATATTCACATGTTGCCCATCAACTGAAGATTAGGGTAAGATTAAGTTCTAATATAATCACTCTAAAAAATATTGATATGAAAATGTTTACACGTTGCATCCCGTACATATCAACTAATCAATGTTGTGCATGTAGGCATCTGATTTTGGTTTGTATGGTATTTATCTTCTTTGATTCATTCTATCTGCAGAATTTGGGTGCATTGATTTTAGCTTTTAATATTTCTACTAAGAAGTCATACATGCAGATTTTTGATAATTTTGATGTTTTGTACCAAGGAAAATTCAATTAGAACTTGGCAGATCAACTGATCAAGTAATATGTGTTCTTATTTATATATCAAAGTTCTTACATTTTGTTTCTAACATTAAAACTGATATTTCTTGGTGATCTGTCAACTGAGAAACTACCCTGCTTGCTACTACGTTGTTTATATATTTATTTATCAACCATGCTACTTCAATCTCTGAGAGTATTTTCTAAATGCTTGACAAGCATATTTTGTTTAGTTGGAACGGATTGAATAGAGAAACTTCTAGAAAACGGATGGGTTAGTTATTTTGGAATAGAATGAATCCTGATGCAGCTATGTTTTGTGTATCCAAAGTTTACTTCTTCTTCTTTTTGTGAAAGGTAGAGAGATTCCAGTGAACTTTCTGTGGCTTGCCTAGATTTGAAAATAAAGATTAATATCTCTGGCCATAATTTTGTAGTTAGGTATGAAACTTGTCATTTGGAGCAACTGTATATTGCAAGTTTAATGTCAGTTGTATGCTTTCACAGGAAAGCTTGTGATGAGGGTATTTCATCATGGGGTTGGAATCTGAGTGGCCAGCATTCTACATACCATGCTTTGTTTCCTAGAGCATGGACAATATATGATGGTATTATTCAAACTTTCTTGGTCATTCGAGTCATTTTATTTTAATTTGCTTCATGTTTTATAATGGTCTATCTTTTCAGGTGAACCAGATCCTGACCTAAAAGTGTCCTGTCGGCAGATATCACCTTTCATACCACATAATTATAAGGATACTAGTCTTCCAACAGCTGTTTTTGTCTATACAGTATGTTTACTGAGAATCTAATTATCAATAACTTAGTGACATGTTATATGCATACAATACAGCCCTTTTTCGTTTTTTGTGTATTTCAGATTTGTTTTTGTAATTGGTTATTTACAAGACTATTTTATGCCTTTTTTTCCTCTATTTTTCTTACAAGATCATTACTTGTTCCATTGCAGTTGGTGAATACTGGAAAAGAAAGGGCAAAAGTCAGCCTACTCTTAACATGGGTGGTAAGTTCATTTCTGGGTCCAGACTTGTTCAATATTGTGTTTAATTTTACTCGATCAATAAAAGGAGTGGTTCTTGCATTTTCAGTAATCAATGTTTGTTTCTGCAGAATTCAATTGGTGGAGTTTCACACTTATCAGGGGATCATGTGAACGAACCATTCATGTGAGTATATTTAGTGGATATTCTTTCTATTTGGACTATGTGCATTACAAAATGTCTTAACTTTCTTTTCTTTTATTTTGATAGAGGCGAAGATGGAGTTTCTGGTGTACTTCTTCATCACAAGCAAGTCATCAAACTTTAATAGCTTTATACGACGGTTGGTTTGTGTATTTCTCCTGGTTATTTCACTGTTATAGGAGGTGAAAGGGAACATTATGTGCTAAGCACCGTCCCCTTTCTAAATACACACAAGCTCAACAATAAGTAGGGAAAAAGAAGTGGGAAAAAACAAAAGATGATGTTGGGCTGACATAAGTATTTATGTTAAAAGAAAGAAAGATGTTTTCCTTATGACACTCGGTAGCTAATTAAAATACACCATTCACTTTAAAAAAAGAGTGAGCAACACATTATTTTGGTCGTGAGAACATACTTCTGTTGCTAGCAGAAGTTTCCATTTCAGGTGGGTATGGCATTTTCCTATATGATGAAAAGCTCCTAAAATCTACTCAATTTACATTTTGTGGTAACCCCTGCACTTTCTCTTAGTTTACGATAATTGCAAGTAATGGATAGAATATTATAAAATTTAGGTACTACTTTTCTTTTCTTTTTTTAAATTAGGGGGACATAGTTGCACTTGTTTTCTTAGGAAATGTGATGTGAAATCACAGGGATATGCTTGATTATGGCATTTATTTGAAGCGTAGATGAGAGAGATCATGAGTATGCCTGTTTTGTCGGAAGGTGATTTGGAGGCTTTCTGTAAACTACCCGAAACATCAGTACTATATTTAGCAGGCTATTTCTTTTACGTGTATGTGTGTGTATTTGACAAAACAACTACCGGAATATTTCTTTAGGATTTTGTAAATATTCTAAATATAAATTCCGACGCATCTTGTTTTGCTTCTCCCTGAGACCTTGAATTTTTAAGGATGTTAGAATATTAAAAAGTTTGCTTTTAATCTCTAGTATTAAGCTTTATATCAATTAAGCCCTCAGAATTAAAAATTTCGTCGTGGGTCACAGGAATTTAACCTTAGTCGAAGGGTCACATTGTTTTCTTCCTGGGTTTGAGGGTTTAATTGAGTGTAAAAAAACTTCAGGGGTTAGCATTTCATTTTCTTCTCTTTTCTGAGTCATTACATGAATCTTCCTCTGGTCCAGGAGTTTCCTTGACATTTACTTCAGTGCTGCATTGATATTATTTGTTTGTCGACGTTTTATTTTCCTGCTAGCCTGCTTGCATTCTGCTTTGGTGCATAAGTTACATAAAAGTATATTGCTAACACAATAACTAGATTTCAAATGTTTCTAAGAATTGACGTCATTTCACAGGACTGGCAAGGGTAACCCTCCTGTTACCTTTGCCATAGCTGCATCTGAAACCCAAAATGTCAACGTGACAGTCCTACCATGTTTTGGTCTTGCTGAAGGAAGGTCAGTAACAGCTAGGGAGATGTGGGGTAAAATGATGCAGGTAAATCTTTCTTGTAAAGGATTATCAACCTTTACTTTTAGTTATCATTTTTTCCCCTTCAATTTACGGAACTTGTCAACATTGGATATGTATTCAATTTCAAGTCTATATCTTACTGTATGAGTTCCTAATAGCGCCCTAGTATTCTTTCCAAGTTGTTCATAAATTATTTCCGTGCTATGCTTTTTCCAGACCCGTTTGCAAATTAAAATTGTTGTTTTTGTGTCTAAAGGATGGACAATTTGATCATGAAAATTTCAATCGCGGCCCAAGCATGCCTTCTTCGCCGGGAGAGACACTTTGTGCTGCAGTCTCGGCCTCTGGTTGGGTGGAACCCCATGGAAGGTGTACCATTTCATTTT